TGCAATTTTCTGAAATTCAACACCCTGCGGGTCAGCCCCCAAGGGCAATCCAGCTTCCACCTCTAAATGTCAAGTTTACTTCATGCCTCTCATGGCAGGGGGAAAATTTGGTGTTCCTTGGAAGCATAAAAGGATGTAAGGAGGTCAAGTCTTTCCAAGAGCTTGCCCATCAATCCATGCTCAGCCATCTCCAAGCAAATGTATGGTGGTACTGTGGAGGACCTTTACTGGACACTCTGCCAAATAATTGGAGCATTACTTGGGCTGTAATCCAACTGGCTATCCCCTTCACCCTGGCATTTCATCAATCTAAAAAGGTAAAAACAAAACTGCAGGCCAAAGGAAACTCCTTATGAGTCCTTTAATCCTCAGGTTTACATAAATGCTATTAAGGTCCTGTGAGGAGTGCCAAATAAGTTTAAAGCACAAAATCAAATAGCTGCAGAATTTAAATCCATATTGTTCTGGTAGGTAACTAAAAAAAAAAAAAAAAAAAAAAAAAATAGACGAAATAAACTATATCTATTACAATCAGCAACAATTCAAAAATTACACTAGAGATGCCATCAAAGAGATAGCTAAGCAATTAGGACCTACTAGTCAGATGGCCTAGACAAATAGAATACCTTTAAATATAATATTAGCAAAAAAAGTTGTTTGTGTCACAATTAAAACTCCATGTTGTACCTTTGTTCCTAATAATACTGCCCCAATGGAAGGATTAACAGCCCTATCTGATAAACTTGCCAAAAATTCTCAAAAACCCTTTTTCTAAAATGATGAAACATTGGTTCAGTGGATAAAATGAAATTTTAACATCAATTCTTACCTTGTTTGCTCTTGTTATCGGTGTACTTATTCTTGTAGGCTGTTATATTATTCACTGCCTTCGCAGTTTTATACAAAAACTTGTCTCTGCCACTGTTACAGAGTTAACTCCTAACTCTCCTCCACCCTACTTGGAAAAATTACTTCTCTTAGAAGGACAAACAAAGCAATTAAGTCAAAATATATTTAAAAAGTTTGAAGAGGAATTATAAAATAAAAAGAGGGGAAATTATAAAAACTAAAGTAGACATTCCTCTTCAAAGACTTTCCTCCTCATTTAATTAGGAATAAATAGTAACTTCTCTTAGGCACAAAACGTATTCAAAGACCTGTGCTAACATTCTTAAATATCTGCTAGCTGTGATAAAGAAATCAATGCACTTTATGTTCTTAGCTCTCACAATTTAGCCTAAATATTTGCCCTGGTAGGCTTATACTGCTCCAACCAAGCATTAGGTCTTAGCCTATTCCTCTTCCTTATTTGAAAGGTAAAAGTTTTTACCTTTCTCAGCATTCCACAAGTTACTTCCTCCATCCTTTGTCTTCCTCTACATTTACCTCTTTTAAAAAGTTCTAACTTGCTAGCCAATCGGGACAAATACAGAATGTGAGGTCCCATTCCAGCCAGTGGAAACCAGACATAGCAGTAGGGTGGACGTGTCAGGTTATGAATAACCCTGTCTCTTTTGTTCACTGTACTCTCTTGGCAAAACTGCTGGTGAGTGTATCCTTTCTGCAGAAAGTATAAAAATGTCCTTGCTGAGTAAATTAAATTTATGTTCAAGTGCTATTTATTTATGGCACCAGGGAACAAGCATTTCAAACAATTGTAACATTTGTTTTGGGAAAAAAACTGTTATTGTCTTTGTTTCAAAGCTAAACTGTACACTAGTTTCTCCTGTTAAAGCAAACTAAATATGGCCTGAGAAGGGACTCTGTATTTCTATATATGAGTCCATATGGACAAACTGCAACCTAATTTAATAGATAGACAAGATTGAAAACCTAACTTAGGAGTATGTGCCTGTAACAATAGCTGAGTCTTGGCCAATCCCAGTGGCCATACTTCAACCATTCATACACTGTTGAGTATTCAAACTGTGTCCAAATAAGGCAAATGCCAACCTGTAACCAATCCAGTCATTCTGTACCTCACTTCTGATTTCTGTACATCATTTCCCATTTTTGTCTATAAATCTTCTACTATGTTGCTGTGCTGGAGTCTCTAAATCTGCTGTGATTTGGGGGGCTGCCTGATCCATTAATTGCTCATTGCTCAGTTAAACTCCTTTAAATTTATTTTGGCTGAAATTTTTCTGTTATCAGATGGTGTCAGAAGCAGGATCCAAAGTAGAGCTTCTAGCAAGCACTAGGAGCACTGAATGAACACACAAGGTACCTGCAGGACCCACTTTTGTCCATTAATCTCTCAGAGCATCTGGGGATCATGGGTAAGCTCTCTGTCTTGGATTTCAGAGCTCCATGGATTTGTGCTTTTAGCTCGCTGCCCAAAGTGCTGGTATTACAGGTTGTTTGCCTTTTAAATACACTACGAAAAAAAAAAGAAAAAGAAGGGAAAGACAAAGACAGACTGTTTGGAAAGCTAAGTCTTCCCTCCATTAATGAGTAAAGGTTTTTGACTTTTTAGAAAATTTTGAGTCATCATTTTGGCTAAATGAATAACTTGGGGTGACCTGGAATTCTAGTTCATAATATCAAGTGTTTTAAACCTTTAACATATTGAATAGGCTTCCGCAAATCAAATTTTAGCTTCAAAATGGTCTTCTTCCTTAAGTTCTGGTTTTTTTTTTTTTTTTTTTGAAAGTTTTTAGTTTATTAATCTGCTTGTGAAAAATCCAAAATGGACACAGGTAGCCTTTACTGCAGCACCTTTACTCTTTCGGCTGTGATCCAATCTCCAGCTCACTTTTTGCCAGCACCAACATTGGCCTTTGCAGTCCCCCTGACTTTCTTCATTCTGTTCTTGCGTTCCTTTCGTTGCTTTCTTGAGGTCTTTTTCTTCTCATACAGGCCATGTCTTGCAAGTCTATGTTTGGGTTCATTTTTCTTTGCATAATCCAGGGAGTCATAAAAAATCATAAAAAATCATGCCAAAGCCAGTTGTCTTGCTACCACCAAAATGAGTTCTGAATCCAAATACAAAGATGACATCCGGTGTGGTCTTGTACATTTTGGCTAGTTTTTCCCGAATTTCTGTCTTAGGCACTGTTGCCTTCCCAGGGTGAAGGACGTCAATGACCATTTGTTTCCTCTGAAGTAGTCGGTTGGTCATGAACTTTCTAGTGCGGATAGTTATGGTGTCGTTCATGATGGCGGGCCTATCTTTAGACAGTCAGGGAGGAAAAGAGAGCCACGTTCTGTTTTTTGTGGCCTGATGCTAACAATGTTTTCTTAAAGGTCTCAAGGCCATGTTTTCTTCTAGCATAATATTCTGTGCAGTGCAGAAGGTCTTCTCTTTTGTCTTTTGGTAACTGGCCTAACAGATTTTACGTTTTATCAAAATAATTCCTATGCTATTATTTTTAAGTTAAGTTTGCTTAGGAAAAACTGAGATTAAAAAAAATTAATTGCCGGGCGCGGTGGCTCAAGCCTGTAATCCCAGCACTTTGGGAGGCCGAGACGGGCGGATCACGAGGTCAGGAGATCGAGACCATCCTGGCTAACATGATGAAACCCCATCTCTACTAAAAATACAAAAAACTAGCCGGGCGAGGTGGCGGGCACCTGTAGTCCCAGCTACTCGGGAGGCTGAGGCAGGAGAATGGCGTGAACCCGGGAGGCAGAGCTTGCAGTGAGCTGAGATCCGGCCACTGCACTGCAGCCTGGGCGACAGAGCAAGACTCCGTCTCAAAAAAATAAAAAAATAAAAAATAAAAAAAATTAAAAAAATTAATTAAGGTTATTAGATTCTTGAATCTTCGTGTCATCTCAGACCTGGTAGAAGATGCCAATCAAAATTAACTGCATTAAAGCCTCATCTTTAATTAACTGCATTAAAGCCTCAAAATTAACTGCATTCCTGAGACACAGGGTCAGAAATTAAAGTTATTCAACTCCTCAAGGCCCAGGGACAATCGTGGAAGAGGGGGGCATGTAAGATAGTAAGGGCCGATTTTGAGAGATAAAATAAGTTATTTCTCTATAAACTAATCATTAATGTCAAAGGCATGCTGATGCAACACCAGCATATAAGCCCCTGTGTCAGATTAACAACGTTTTCATGAAACATTAAATGACTCCTTAATAAAGGTTATAGGCCGGGCGCGGTGGCTCAAGCCTGTAATCCCAGCACTTTGGGAGGCCGAGACGGGTGGATCACGAGGTGAGGAGATCAAGACCATCCTGGCTAACACGGTGAAACCCCGTCTCTACTAAAAAATACAAAAAAAAAACTAGCCGGGCGAGGTGGCGGGCACCTGTAGTCCCAGCTACTCGGGAGGCTGAGGCAGGAGAATGGCGTAAACCCAGGAGGCGGAGCTTGCAGTGAGCTGAGATCCGGCCACGGCACTCCAGCCTGGGTGACAGAGCAAGACTCTGTCTCAAAAAATAAATAAATAAATAAATAAATAAATAAAGGTTATAAAGACTTATGGAAGTTATAACTTAAAATCAAGATGAAATTTTAGAAGTGGTTTATAAAATTTTGGAAAACAAATTTAATTGACTTCATGCTGTTTTATTAGGGCTTACTGTTTGGAAAATTAGTCTCTCTCAAAGAATGAAGGTTTTTGCCTTTTTTTTTTTTTTTGAAATCCTTGAGTTATCACTTTGGTTAAATGAATGGCTTATTTTATACTGACCTGTAATCCTATTTTGAAATATCGAGTGTTTTAAACCTTTGGTAATTGACAAACTTTCCAAAATCAAATTATAAATTATGTCTTTTTCTGACCTAATTAATCCTTTAAGATGTTATTAATAAGTTCCCTAAACTCCAAAAATCACATATTTGGCTTATTTGGTATAAAAATTACACAGGAAGAATTGTCAAATATAAAATGGTGTTTGATTTTCTTTGGGCTGTATTTGTATAAATATGTTATTGGTACCTCTTCTAAAATTATGAGAAATTCCTATAATTTTGATGTGACTTAATGTATGTTATCAGTAATAATTATAATTGTTATGTTAAATTATTGTGTGCCATAGAGGTAACAAATTTCCTTGTCAATTGTGTCTTTGAGTATGGCTATCCTGAAACTTTTTGCCATCCATGGACACTGACTGTCTTGTTTTGGTCCTCTGATAACTTTGAAGATTGTGACATCAGAATAGAGGAAAAACTTTCAGTACTCACAGAGAGCTGAAATGATCATGAATATCAAGCAGAACAGGAACTAACATAATGGACTAAACTAATAGAAGACTGAAGTAATCTTTTTAAGTTTTGCTTAAAACATTGGTGATCCTTTGTTTTGTTTTTCAGAGTCAACAACTTTAAGTTATTTACAAATTTTAACAATTGAGTATACTCCTATGAACAAAATTTGGAGCATATTTGTTTCTCTCTACCTTATTTCTACAGAATTTGGAAGCTATTTGTGAGCATTCTTAACTTTTGACAATACAATTAGTAGCATATGTGCAATAAGAATCTGTTTTCATTTGTAACAGGACACAATTGGAGAACTGGTTATTTTACCAAGACTTTTACTGGAATGGTGTGTTTTCCATTTAGGAATCAAACTTACTGAGCCAATAAAACTCCTTGGAAAAACTGTCCACATACCTTTGTCTACACAGTTCCTGTACAGGGTTCCTGACCTGTGGTAAGTAAGGAATGTACTTTCTGACAAGTCCAGAACCCCAGGTTTATCTTGGAACCTCAAGAGGAGAGGAATTCACCCAAATCATAGGTATTTAATGGTATAAATACATGACTGGGCTCGACTTATTCCTTCTATGGAACAAAGTTCCATCAAGGCCAATGTAAAAGCCTATGTAAGCCAGGCATGGTAGCTCATGCCCTTAATCCCAGCACTTTGGGAGGGTGAAGTGGGTGGATCACTTGAGGTCAGGAGTTCAACACCAGCCTGGCCAACATGGTAAAACCCCATCTTTACTAAAAATACAAAAAAAATTGGCCAGGTGGAATCCCAGCTACTTAGGAGGCTGAGGTAGGAGAATCGCTTGAACCCAGGAAATGGAGGCTGTGTTGAACCAAGATCGCACCACTGCACTCCAGCCTGGGTGACAATGTGAGACTCCATCTCAAAAGAAAAAAATAACAGTTATGTAAAAATTAATTATTCTTGCTGCACTGTATACAAATAAGCCAAATATAATAAAGCAAACTAGTCCTACTATGGTTTGTCTTTAGTAAAAATGGGAAACTAGAGAGAGAAAAATTAGTTTTCAAAAACTGTAGTACACCTGTTGTTAGATTCTAGTCTTGCCTAATGTTTTTCAATTTTTATTATCTTCTACAGTTTGGATCAAATTCTATTTTTTCTTGGCTAGAAGACTTTAAAATAATGTTTTCCTTTTTTTCCCATTTTTCCTAATTCAGAGTCATTGAAAACTAAGCTGTGCTTTCATAAAGCCCTGCAAACTGAAGCTAGACAGCTTAAACTTCAGAAGAAAATAACAGCAACCTATTTACATACATAAGCCACTTTCATGCCTGCCTACTGATGTATGGGCTTCAGAGTAATGTGGCCTATATTGATTTTCCAGGATGTTCTTTGTTGTTGTTTTTCTCCCTTCCTCCCACTATTTTCTTTTCATAGTACATGACACTTCACAACCTTCTAAAAATGAGCTTTCCTAATATCTCAAGACCCACCTGACTAGGAATAAACCATCCTAACCATGAGAGATCAGATGAAACCTGAGACCAGAGACTCATTTTCTTCTAAAATGTTTTCTCCAAAAGATTTTAAAAATTAAAAGGAGGGAAATGTGAAAGGAAAATACCTTGCAGGACTGAATATCTTAGTGATTTGGCCCCCAACATCACTAAGCTAAAGGGAAAAGTCAAGATGGGAACTGCTTAAGGCAAACCTGCCTCCAATTCTATTCAAAATCACCCCTCTGTTCATTGAAATAAATACATATCTGATTGCTTTCTTTGGAGAGGCTAACAAGAAACTCTAAAGAATGCAACCATTTGTCTCTTATCTACCTTTGACCTGGAAGTCCCCTCCCCACCTTTCCAGACCGAATCAATGTTCATCGTACATATGTTGACTGATGTCTCATATCTCCCTAAAATGTATAAAACCAAAACTGCTGACCACCACTCAGGACTTCCTGAGGCTGTGCCACAGGCATGTGTTCTCAACCTTGGCAAAATAAACTTTCTAAATTAACTGAGACCTGTCTCAGATTTTCAGAGTTCACATTTCAAATGACAATTATAGCAGAGAGGTAAGGTTGAAGAGGAGACTGAAGGATCTTTTCAATATTAAGGGTTTCATTAAAGCAAACTGCTGAGGCCTGCTGGCATTAGGAAATAAAGTTCTTCATTTGTGGGTAGAGATCTTCTTTACATAATTTTTTGCATAGAATGCTTTTGAAACCCTCAACAGGTATGCTCAGAGTAACACAAAAAAGTCACATCAAAGGAGTGCCTAGACAAGTGAAGCTTTCCCCTCTGTAGTCAGTGAGGTTTCACATCTGACAACTTTCTCTGAAGCGGCCAGAGGCCCTTTCTATCATTATTAAAAATAGATGAAAATAGTTGACCCATGTTGAGGTTTTGTTTTCTGAATGAACAATATTTTTGAGTGACAAAGTTGTTTCCCAAATATTATATTTGGGTGGATCAAGTGATGAATGAGTAAGTTATCTGTGCCTCTAAGTATCTTGCCATTGTACTGCCATTGTTTTATTTAGCAATAAAATGTTACTGAAACAGCAGTAACAAATAGAAAACCTTCCTATTTTCCCTTACTAGTTAATGTGAGAAGACATCACCTGCCTGTTTCAGTCCCACAAAAATGGTTTTAATATAGGGTCACACAAAATTCAAAGGTTTTATGGCCCATTATAAAACAGCTCTTTGTCTTTTCCCACTAATTCCCTAGTGTCACATTTAACAAAACAAGGAAACTATGGATAATAGAGGTATTTGCAGATTAGCTTTCAAAACCATAAATAACATAGGGTTTTGCTCACCTATAAATATTAAGACAGCTTATTAATGTTTAATCCCCTTCCTCTTTATAATTGTTGCTAACATTTTAACCAAAATTGAGAAATTTTTCTCTACTGCTTTCTTACATTGACAGAGTACACATTCGTAAGATTTTATCATCAGACTTCATGGTATAAAGAGACATCACCTGAACACCTACCTACATCTGACAGCCCCTGTTTTGGAAGATGCATCTGCTTTATGCTTTCTTTATTTTGCTCTCTCTTAGCAATGGTTTTAATCCTAACTGTCATGGAAGATGTAACTGTGATTCTGTGCAGTCAGTGTAATGCTACAGACTAACGGAGGTATCATCAAGTATTCCTTCTGCCATCAAGAGGCTCTACATTAGCCACAGAAAAATTCAACACCTCCAGGTAACTATATCATGTGGCACTCAAATTACTGCAATCTTATTTCGTGAGACAGTGTGAGGGGCAAGTGTGGGATTGTTAAATTTATTTTAAATAATCATAACTTAAATGTGCTAGTTATCAAAGTAGGGTAGTTGAACTAGCTACCTGCTTGCTCTGTACTATTGAGATGGGTATATGCCTCTGGATGTTTATTTTTAGGAAAACAACAAAAGTCAGAATCTACAGTTAATGATATTCTATTTTAATATTTATTCAAAAACATTAAAAACTATGTTGCTGCAAAGTAAAAATGACTCTTGCTTAACAAAAAGTATACTGCTACGTTTTGTCCCCAGGATTAAGAATAAATCCTTTCGGGGAAAATGTAGTTTTGTTTATTCCATGGATGGAAGATGATACTTAGAGCAACATCAGACTACCAAAGCGAACCCAGTATATCAGAAGAATTCACACAAACCCTGTGTATCAGTCAGGTATCAGTGTCTTTGTGGAAACCTATACAGAGGAAATAAATATTTTTGTTTTGCCAAGTTACCCACAGTTCTCATTCTATGTGCTTTTAATTATGACTTTTATTTTTATGCCCACTTATGCAGACAGCACTGAAAAGAGTGCTATGGATTTGTCTGACTTATATAATATAAATGAACTTTTATTTTTGATCTCTGATATTTTGAAAGTTATCAAGAGACTAGAGTTCTCATCCCAGTTTTCCCCCTAATTAGAGATATGACTATCTTAGGCTGGCTGTTAAAAAAATCTTTGGGCAGCACCTTTATGAAGTGAGAAGGTTAGATTAGATAGGTGATCCCAGGCCCCTTCCAGATGGAAAATTCTACGGCTGTCTAATTTTCCCTTTACTATTCACTGCTTCCCCCTTAAAGATCTGAATCCTAAGATAAAGTAATGCCTCTCTGTGAGCCAGGTGCAGAGAGGCAGCAGGTGAGTGTACCTTACCTTCAAACAGACACCATCCCTTTAATTTGGTTAAGAAATGTTCATATGGGTGTCCCATAAACACATAGAGTTTAAAATATGTAGCATGGTATTTAGATCCTGGCTCAATAAACACAGTTGTCTTGTCTCCATCTGTTTGCTTTCCTCTTCTAACCCTGTAGTGCCTAACACCAGATAGCAAGTCTGACCCCATTAAGTGTAAATTTTCAAGCAAGACACCTGGTTAAAGGGTAAGCTACTTAAATATTTGCCCTGAGGACTTGACGTGCTTATTGAAAGCAGAATGTCAACTAATCCTAGTAATGATTACACACTGGTACTTTGTAGCCAACAAGATAAAATTATACCTCTTATTAAATTCAGTTATTGGATGAGTCAGTTTGTCATTGGTTTAGTTTCATTGAACAGCAGCATTGCCACTTCCCTGACTTTAAGTTAGGTAATTATCTCTTGTAAGGACTGTTCACAACAGAAACATAATAAAAGACAGGATTGTTTTGTTAAGGAAAATGAAAGTTCTTTTTGTTGATGAAAGTTCTGACCAATGATACTTCTCTTTTAAAAATACTTAGGTTTTAAGTTATCATATCTCACTTGCATAGGTTTTAAATGACCATATCTCATTTGCATTTGGTAAATACAATGTACATTCTGTTTATTGGGTTTGAATTTACGGAATCATTCAATATGTTCCAAAACTTCAGTAGAGTGTTGGGTTGCATACTCAATTCCTGCCATCCTAATTCTCAATGAATAGCTGGCCTCCCATTTTATTGACAAATCATGACAAGACTTGATCTCCCTCAGTCCCTGCTCACTGTGTACAAATTTGTCTCCATCCACTTTTGCAAACTCTTTTCTCCAGAGAGGACATGTCTCTCCTTGTATTCAAGGCCCTTGATTCCATCCTTCACACCTCTCCCCAGACCTTGCTGTCTCACTTTCTGTACCGCCATATATTCAACTGCTCTTTCTTTACTAGTTGCTCTTTACCTGCCTTGGCCTCCAGAGTGCTGAGAGCTACCACACCTGACTTTTTTCTTTTGTCACTCGTGTATTTGGTGTTATATCTAAGCTAGCTTTACCTAATTCAAGTTCATGAAAATGTAATGCCTACATTATATTCTAAGAGTTTTATAGTTTTAGCTTGTACATTTTGGTCTATGATCCATTTTGAGTTAATTTTTGTGTATGGCATAAGAAAGGAATTCAGCTTCATTCTTTTGTTTCCTCTGTCCTGTTCTGTTGCTATGCACTAACTCAGACTTTAGTCTCAAGCCATGATGAACTGCTTGACTGTGTTGAGTGAAATACACAATGAACAGCTGATTACATGTGATACCAAATGGACAGTGTACTAGGTGACCCAAGTCACTCCTATTTAGAGGATTGTAGGTTTGGTTCAGTACTTTGTGTCCACATATGTAAAATATCCTTAAGTTTACTTCACTATTGCCATTCAAATGGATAAGCAAAAGTGATATATTCTCTTCAGAGGTAGAAGACAAATGGGAATGTAGTTATGGTAGCAGTTAGTTAAAATGATTGTACTTCTTTTGTAGAAGAGAAGAAGCTTCTTCAAATTCTTCTAAGAAATATATAAACAAGGATTCATTACTGAATGGGGGGATTATGGATTATTTTATACTCTCTCTATATTTTCCAGAATTTAAAAATTGTTTGGAAAGAACAAATGTTGCTTTGATGATCAGGAAAAAAATCCAGCATTGTTTTACAAACTCCTTCCTGGCTTGGTTCACACAAGTCTGAAACCATCACTTTGTGTGTATGTCAGTTTCGTTGTACATTGGCTCTATAAGGAGCCGGACAAGGGTGTGTTCCCTTTACTATGTGGAGCAGGGTCTGCCCAGGATTGAAACCAGAAACAAAGCCTCTCCTGGGGAAGCTAGCAGGAGCTATCCTGTGCCCTACTTCATTTTACTGGCCTTGCTTTTTAAGCAATATGGGAAAAGCTGCCGGTAGCCCCAAGGTTAGCTCTACGGCAAAAGCATCTCTTTCCACATAATTGTTCGAGGCCCTGCTTAAGCCATGGAAATGGAAAAATGGGTCTGGCAGAATTTTTTCCCTTTGTCAGTTCTGCAAACCCAACTGAAAAGCTGAAAGTCAGCAGGAGTCTTCCTCATTGTTATGTGGCACCATACCTCTGTTTTCTTCAGCTAAAGGATGTTATAGCAGTAAGGCTAAAAATATATGCACTGGGGTAAGATAAACCTGGGTTAGTAGCCCAACTTTTCCACTAGAAAATGATATACTTGGACAGGTTATTCCACCTTCTTGAGCCTTAGTTTCCCTCTCTGAAAATGGAATAATTATGCTTATGCCTAGGGCTTTGTGAAAATTAAATATAGTAAATATTTCTAAAATTGTAGCCATTTTAATTAATAATCAAATGTAATCTCTATTGACCCTAACAAAAAAAAAAAAAAGGAGGAAAGAAATAAAATGCTTTCTATGCTTAATAATAGTCATTTAAGAATATGAAGTCTATTTAGGCCAATCTGTATACTTTATAAATAGAAATCAAGACAAATTGAAGCTTTGACACCATCCCTTGCCCATTCCCAAAATAAATTGCCCATTCTGATCCATGTCATCTCTGAGACTTATTGCATAGTTAGTAATCATTTTTTGTGTATAGTCACTCAGATATAAGTGGAAATATAATACCCAGTTCTTTTTTGGGAATCTCAACAGTCCAAGACATAAAGATATATGTGTAGAGACATTTCTGACTTTATATAAAAGATAAGCCTACAAAAAGACATTTCAGAATGGAATGTAAAGAACACTGAGTCTTCAGCAAGTTATTTAACTTTTTAGGCCTGAAATTCTTTATTCCTGAAATGGGAGATTTAGATTAGATAATCCCTAAAATCTCTGCTTTTCTAAAGCTCTGTGATTGGTGTCTAGATCTTGAGCCTCTTTTGAAAAACATTAATTTCAGGCCAAATGCAATAGAAAATGCTTTAGAAAATGGTGTAGCTAAGGAAGAAAGGGGTTTGCAGTTCAACAGACCTTGCTGAAATTCTGAATTCTTTCACATTCTAGTTCTCCTAGTCTCCTCATCTAGAAGCCAGTGTTGATAATAGTAAACTTGCTGGGTTATTAGGAGATTGGTGATAATACATAAAAAAGCACTTGGCACTCATAGATACTCAACGAATGCAAGAATAAAATCTCTATCATTATTGTGACTAGGACTATTCAATATAACTGATAAATCATTAAGAAAATATAAAATGTTAGCAGCAATATGTAACTCAAGGCAACTGCCAAAACTATTATGATTAAAAATATTCATTTATGGAAATTTTAACTGGAGAGTGTCCTAATGAAGTAACATATTAGGAGACGTTTAAAAATACATGATAATTCACATCACATATCCTCCCAGAATATAAGTACCTATAATAAATATATGATACAAAATTAACTCACCTTGAAGGTGTTAACCATGTATTGGTATTATGAAAGTGCTCAACTGCATAATTAAGTCAAATATTTAAAAACTGTGTATAGTAAGACACATGAAATTGTATACTGAAAACTCCAGCTTCATTGAATTCTAAGGCAGATTGAAAATTTTGTGAAGATTCATCAACCTGAAGAAAACACAGAACAATTCCTTTTTCTGCTTAAACATAACCTTACTCCTGACACCAAATAAAGATAATTACATCATTGAGCAAAAGACATGGGTATTAAGCTGGGAGGTTGGCAGGCATGTAGGGGAACTTACAAAACACGAAGAAAGTATATCAGATTTGGCAAATATCTAAATTCTAGAGGAAGAGTGGCATTAGGTCTGGGATATATGCACAAATGAACTCTTTGCTCTACAGAGACAGAGGGAGATAACATGTATACATTTGTTTACGATTTTTTTTTTCATTGGTGAAGTGAAAATTGGGTATAGGAAACAGGCTCATTTTCCAAAATACAATATAGTTGAAACTGTTTTCAGTAAGTGCATCCTAGTGATAACAGACTGGGACATTTACATTTTTATAGCTTTTAATGCCTTTTAAAAATATGTGATTCATAATGTTAAACAATGCAAAATGTAGCTAGTGAAAATCCTTTGTAATCTTACCCTCTAGATTTAGAAACTACTAACAATTTGATAAGAGATTTCCAGATTGTTTCAATTTGTGGCTATTATGAGATGATACAACAAAGAACATCCTAGTGCATAAATCATTTTGCAATTTGTATCTCTGCCTAGAAGTAAATTTGCTGGGTCAGAGAATATGTAGTAAAAGTTGGCCAATATTATGTATCTATCAATAATGTGTGAAAGTGCTTAGAATAATTTTCATACCTTACACTTATGTTATCAATCATAAATAAAAATATTCAGGATCTGAGTTTCAACCCTTTTCCAAGAGATAATCTAAAATAGAACCTGAAGAGAAATCTGAAGTATTATTAGTATTGTAATGACAGTGTATATGGTATTTTTAAAACAATATTAATTTATTGCTTTTTCTTCCCCTTCCCTGCCTCCACATTTTTTGTAGCTGTCTGACTTCACCCGAATGTTGGCTGTAGAAGATTCTATTCTGCTGGCCAGTGGAACAGAGTCAGTAGAAAATGACACCTTCAAAGCTCTGAGTGCTTTGAAGACCTTAGAACTCTGGAAAAAAATAAGTTAAGAAGAGTCCCTAGTGCTCTCCCAGCCAGTCTTGAAGTGTGAAAACTAAATGATAACTCAATAAATGTCATACATGGATCAGATTTTGAAGGACTGAAGAAATTAAAAATCCTTGAACTTTAAAACAACCTGATCTCTTCCTTCTCTCCCAGCACACTCTCCTCCCTTGTCAGTTTGCAAAGTTTGATGTTGGATGTAACAGCATAGAGGCTGTAGCTGGACCCCTGATACTTCCCCATCTGACACACATGAGCCTGGAGAATAATAAGGTACATCTTATACGACAGCTTCTTTATTTCTCTATAGTCTTTGCAATTTCTCAGTTTCAGTGGTAACTTTCTGACTAAAGTTCCTGTCAACTACCCAAATCCTTGCTATCTTTAAAGATGGAAAGAAACCAGCTCGGAATGGTAAGGTTTCGAGACACGAAACACTCGAAGAATCTTTGCCATCTTTACCTGTCAGAAAACTTATTCTCTTCCATCAATGGGGCACAGCTCCTTACCAATTTAACTACTCTTGAGCTGTCCCCAAACCAGCTCTAAATGTTGCCCTTCAGACTACCAGTAAAGCCACAAAAACTTCATTGTAGCGATAATCTGATTCAGAGAGTTACAGCACAAGACTTCTAGGACCTCCAAGACTTGAAACGTTTGTTTCTGGACAATAACATTGTGAGTTTGTTCCAAGCTGGAGCCCTGCAGAGGCGTTCTCAGCTCTCCAACCTGGCCCTGGAGCCGAACCTGCTGTTGTCCGTACCCCTAAGGTGAGTGAGTATTTTCATTTATTGTAGCTACCATATAAAATTTCTGAAGATTGGTACAATTCAGCACATCATATAAGCAAGAGAATTAGAGCAAATGTGAATTATCCGATCAAGGCTACACAAGGATTTAGGGATAGAAGTTTTAAACAGAGGTGTTGAATCTTCAGCCCCCAAACTCACTCCTGCACTAACTTTATCTATCTTGCCTGTGGGACAAGACACCCAACAGGTGATATCTCTATTAGCAAACAATATGAAGATACTGTAAAGAGTGTGTCTTTTTCTAAGTACTGTATATGGCCTAGATAATCAACAGTCAGGAGGCCTGAGCTTAGCCACTAGCAAAACAAGCACACCAGGAAAAAAGAGGGGTAAAATATACTAAGATATTTGTAATTTAAAATGCGTTGAAGTAGTAGTTATTGGGGGAAAATTAAAACTTTACAATGTAATATTGTATTTATTTTGAATTACTTATTGGGGAGCCTCATATTCTTTTCAGTGCTATGATCTTTAAAGGGCTTAAGCTGGCTTTGCTTATTTCTCTGTGTGTCTCTCTGTATGAGTAGGTGAGTCCACTAGGTTGGTCTTACCTTCTGGTTTTGGTTATCTCTTCAGTTCTCTCTCCCCCTCCCCCGCCCCGCCTTTCTCTGTCTCTCTCTCTGTCTCTCTCTCTCTCTCTCTCTCTCACACACACACACACACACAGACACACACACACACACACGCCCTCACACTCAGACAATTTCTCTTCCCAAATATCCCTCCCTCTATACCCAACCTGCTGCACCTCTTCCCCCAACTGCTCATAATTTATAACTAATGCAACATGTGTTTATATTAATTGATCCTATTTCTTAAACATTATTTTATGTTCTACATTTTACAGTAGATAAATTTTTAAAATATAGGATGAAACACTATTATTCTCTTTAAAATGATACTATGTTTGTCTATCAGTGGATTCTTTTTTTCCTTTCAGTACTTTATTGAAAAAATAAAAGGCTTCTTGCCCTGGCTATTAGCATTATCAAATTTCTCGTAATTAATGTACCAACTTCTGGTTTCTGTAGAATCCTATGGTATTCTATTTACCTAATTTTATTGTGTTTTATAATATATATATTTTTAAGACAGGGTCTCACTCTGTCACCCAGGCTGGAGTGCAGTGGGGTGATGATGGTTCACTGCAGCCTCAACCTCCTGAGCTAAAGCAATCCTCTCTCCTCAGCCTCCTGAGTAGTTGAGACTACAGGCGTGCACCATGTCTGGCTAATTAAAATAATTTTTTTTTTAGAGATGAGGTCTTGCTACTGCCCAAGCTGGTCTCAAACTCCCGGGAGAAAGTGATCCTCCCACCAAAGTGCTGGGATTATAGGCATGAGCCACTAATTAGAGGCCCAGCCTATAATACATTTTTTTATCAATAAAAACGAGAAAATTATCTTTGATATATAGATATGCTCTTTTTTCTAGTTGAAAAGGGGATTTTAAAATTATATAGTATGGTAACTGTATTCAGTGTAAAACATCAAAAAGCGATGTTTCCAAAAGAAATCAGTATTTCAAAATATATATTAAAGGTGATTTCAAAGTAATTAATTTCTTTTACTGCATAAGTATGAATATACAATTGCTTTAATTTAATCAGTACATTTTGAGCACTTACCATGTGCCAGGTATTTTACCAGACACTTGGGATACATCAATGTAATAAAAGAGATAAAACTTCCTGTTCTGTACAGTTTAAAATCTAGCAGGGGAAGACTGACAACAAACATAATACATAAGTAAAATATATAACATTCAGACTATATTAGGTATTATAGCTTACAACAAAAAAGGGCATGATTACCAGGTTCAAGAGTGTAGTGGGTGAGGTGGCTGGTTTCAATTTCAAATAGGGTAAGAGAGGTAACCCTCATGAAAACATAACCTTTGAGCAAAGACTGGAAGAAGGTGAGGGATTTAGCTGTGAAGCTATTTGGGAGAAACAGTTTTCTAGAGAGAACAGCCAATTCAAAGGCCCTGAGGCAAAAACACAATTGCAGTGTCTCAAGACTCTACTACTTGTTATTTAAATAACTTCTTGACTATGTTACAAGACTTTTTTTCTTTTTTTTTCTTTGAGATGGAGTCTTGCTCTGTCGCCCAGGCTGGAGTGCAGTGGCTCTATCTCAGTTCGCTGCAAGCTCCGCCTCCCGGGTTCATGTCATTCTCCTGCCTCAGCCTCCTGAGGAGCTGGGACTACAGGCGCCTGCCACCACGCCTGGCTACTTTTGTTTTTGTATTTTTAGTGGAGACGGGTTTTCACCGTGTTAGTCAGGATGGTCTCGATCTCCTGACCTTGTGATCCATCCACCTTGGCCTCCCAAAGAGCTGGGATTATAGGCATGAGCCACCGCGCCCAGCCACAAGCCTTATTTTTTAATTACTGACCGCCCCAACTTCAAGGAAAAAAAAATAGTGTATAAAATAAAAACTCATACAACAGGTTAGACAGTAACTACATCATGTAATGTGACAGCAGGCTATGATAGCCGTGGGCAATATTGTGAACTTGGTGGGTTTTTCTACTCAAGTGACTTTTAGAAAGCATTTTGTTGAGTAATCCTGCTAAGTTTTAAGAGTGGAAAAAGTAGCTTAATTATTTACTCTTGTTAGAGTACTTGTGTTTTAACAAGTGGCTACAGAAAGCACAATGGTTTACCCAATGGAATATGTAGTGGAATCGCAAGCATGAACTAGCCATAGTTCTCCAATCTAGCTGCACATTAGAATTATCTGGAGAAAATTTTTTTTTTAAAATTTTATTTATTTTTTATTTATTTATTTATTTATTTTTTTGAGACGGAGTCTCACTCTGTCGCCCAGGCTGGAGTGCAGTGGCCGGATCTCAGCTCACTGCAAGCTCCGCCTCCCGGGTTTACGCCATTCTCCTGCCTCAGCCTCCCGAGTAGCTGGGACTACAGGCGCCCGCCACCGCGCCCGGCTAGTTTTTTGTATTTTTTAGTAGAGACGGGGTTTCACCGTGTTAGCCAGGATGGTCTCGATCTCCTGACCTCGTGATCTGCCCGTCTCGGCCTCCCAAAGTGCTGGGATTACAGGCGTGAGCCACCGTGCCCGGCCTGAGAAATATTTTTTAAAAGCATACTTATACCTAGGCCTTACGTCAAACCAATTAAATCAGATGCCCCTAGACTCAGGCATCACTACTTTTGAAAAGCTCCCCAGATGAATTTAATGCTCAGCTAGGGTCAAGAGCTACTTTGCAAGGACAATGGGGCCAGTAATATGAGGTGGGAGTGGGCTTTTCCTGTGAGGCTTAAATTAAGCAACACAACTGTCTGCTCTGTCAAAGTACTTGGCCAGCCATGATAGCAAAGTTCTTGTGACTTTGAAATACCCCTATCAACACTGCCTCCACTCCTCAGCCCTTTTTTGTTTTGATTGACAACTGGGAAAGACCCAGAAAGGTTTCCCTGTGGTTCTCCTCTCATTAAAAGTTAAAACATGGTTGGGCAAAGCAGCTCATGCCTGTAATCCCAGCACTTTGGGAGGCTGAAGCGGGTAGATCACTTCAGCCCAGGAGTTCAAAACCAGTCTGGGCAACATAGTGAGACCCCCATCTCTACAAAAATTTTTTAAAAAATTAGTTAGGTGTGGTGGTACATGCCTGTGGTTCCAGCTACTCAGGAGGATGAGGTAGGAGAACTGCTTGAGCCCTGGAGGTTGAGGCTGCAGTGTGCCATGATTGTGCCACTGCACTCCAGCCTGGGTGACAAAGCAAGACCCTGCCTCAAAAAAACAAAAAAAAAAAGTTAAAACTTGAAACATGATAATATCTATTCCTTATATTTTAATTTTAAATTTTTTATTTATGGCTTTTAAACATTACAACTTTTAAAAATTTGCATGCTGCTTCTTCATACACAAAATCTATAATATACGATTCAGTTTTCTACAAGTAAACTATTAACACAGGCAACCTGCTTCTATCACCAATGATATTTTGGCATATCTTTTCTTTTGCCACCATCCTCCATTCCACATTTCATCAAGAAAACAGTAGTATATGAGTATATGGTTTTAGGTACACATACATTCAAAGCCCTACTACATTTGCCTCATTACACTAATTGAGATAGAAAATAATACCTAACATTTATTAAGTGCTTATTAAAACCAGCAGTGAACTTAGATACATACAATAATTCTGTGAGGGTAGGTACACTGGTTTATCTAATAATTTACAGACTAGAGCACTAAGGCTTAGAGGTATTCAGAAACTTGGTCAACGTCATAGTCAGAATTTAAACACAGTATTTTAACTCCAGAGTCAGAGAAGTTTAGACACTGCATAGTCCTGTCTCTAGGATTTACTCTACTGTCAATAAAATAACCATACTACTTCAAATGCCCAGGAACTGGACTTCAATTGCTGCTGCTTCAGATTTCATCAATTTGCAGCTTAGTGAATAAATATAAATTAAATTATCTCTTTTTATCCACTCTTCAGATGATTGAAATCTAGAATGGCTTCTTACAACCTAATGCAGATAGCATTTTATCTTACACCCAGGTGCCATCTACTGCAAAATGGGCTGTGCCCCTTTTTACTCTAAAAAGCAATAGCTACCCAAAGAACATGATAGCATTTCTAGAAAACTGTTTATTTTAAAATCAGAGCTACTTTAAAATATAAATCAGACTTATAAAGACAAATTATATCAAAGCAATAAGTGGCTGTCAGAAAGTCACAAAACCAGGATAAATGGTGATTTCTCTTACAATGTCATTTTGGTGATGACTTCCATACAAACAAGCCAGGGAGAAAAAAAGGCAAGCCTAAGAACAGGCACAATTTTTGGATACACATCCAAGAACTGGATAATTGTATTTATTTCCTAGAAAATTTGGCTTGCTCATTTTCATTCTCTAACATTGGTTATGGGACTTACGTGTAATGAATGGTTCATCTGTAGGGTGGAAAATTAGGA